AAGTTAGTATTTGATTGTAAAACTCCCTGAAGAAGTCTACGTTAGTTGGACGAAACGCGTAGGAGAATAAACAAGTTTTACAGCAACAGTTCGCAGAGTGCTGCTCACTAGTTTAGTTTTAAAAATTGGGGAGACGAGCCCCTTGGCACTTACTCTTACCGAACCAGTTCCCGAAGCGTTTGAATCGCCTTCTTCTGATTGGCCAGAAAAATTTTTTTCTGGCCAATCAATGAAGAGAAGCATCTGGGTGTCTCTCTTGTTTTCCTACACGATGTATTGTTCCTCATGGATCGCCGTAGTTGCGTAGTGCATTCAACCAAGAAGATTTCTCACAGAAATTTTCAGAACAAAATGTTAACAACCCGCAAAAATTACAACCTTAAACACGGCTACAAGAAACAAACACTCTCTGATGAATTTTTAGGGCGGATCTTTCCAAGGTATCGTAAATTTTTATTGCTGATATGATATATTAAATTTGCTCACATTGTCTAGTATACAACGCCAAACTTACAGTTTAGATGTCCATGTTCGTTGTACGACTTTTGAAACTTTCTACAGCGGGAAAATTTCCATTGCATGGGCCACGCAACTACTAGGTCGATTGATCGTGAGAATTGCCATGCACGCACCTCCTTGCTTTCGCACCAAACTCCCTTACCATACGGTTTTTAATACAGCTGTTGTGTTTAGTTCGAAATCTTGGTCCGGTTATATGCTGAATTAACTTGTTAAGTGAGGCTGTGTGGGTTTGTTTTTAGGGATAAACGAAGAAAAAAAAGTAAAGGTGAGTTTGCGAAAATGTTTGAAAGTGGTTGGTGTGAAAGTTTTGGAGGGTGATAAACGTGCAGTGTGTGACACGTGTAGGTATAGAGGTGAGAAATCGTGGAAGAGTGGGATGTCTATATAGATATTTTTGTAGTCACTAAAACTTTACAAGAACTGAACGCCCTTAAGGAAATTCCAGGAAGAAGAGACCAAGGAATAGGGACACTTTCCAAAGATCCATCTTCAGCTCTTGATTTCAAGGACCTGGGTCTCTGGCTTACTAAACATAAGAGAACCTGGGTTAATCTTCACTGTGATTAAAATTATGGCTAATATAGTAGAGATGAATTTTTATTATAAGATATCTTTTTACAAATACATGTATAAAAGTATTTTCACATAATATGTGATTTTTCACCAAACTACTGCAATATTAACAATTTTCCATTGGTGCATTAATTTTGTTTGATATTTCATAACTTCCCTATCATAATTAGCTATAATTCTCCTCATCTGACAATGATATTCTTCATTAATAGTTATTTTTAAATGTTTTAACACCCTCTTCAGAAAGGATAAAAATCTTCATTGCATGGTCACCATTCCACACAGTGTCTCTAAAATACTTTCCACAGAACATAATTTATGACAATTATCAATTATTGTTTCCTGTAGAAGACAATCAGAGAATACAAATTCTAGAATACAAGCTGTGAAGATTTGCTTGTTGAAATTCCTGTCTCAGATCATCTTGATTTTCTTTAAGCAGACGCGAGTTTTTTTACTTTGGCATTTGCTGGTGTTGGTTCTGTTGCCTTAGGCATCAGAAAAGTCATGCTTTTTGTGTCATCTTTACATTACTGCTTGTCCACACTGACAGGCTTTGGCACAGATGTGGCAACATAAGTGGCTTGGAATGATTCTGCTGTTTTCACTACTGCCATCAAAAAAGGAAGGATTTTTTCTCTTCTGCAGGTTGTACACTCGATAAAATCCAAAAGAAGAAAGACTTAGAATTATGGAAAACACTAAGTGACAATTTCAGTACAGTTCCCTTTTTTCCAGAGAGTGTTGGAAAGCTTTTTGCATGTTATGTGTAGGTATACCATATTTACTTGTGTATAATGTGCTGTCAAATATAATGCGCACCCCATTTTTCTAGACTGTTTTCAAATTATATTCTCAAGTATACTTTTTGGCCACCTAGTAAAACAAACCCTTTGGGACAGAAAGAATCACCAACAAATACCCCAGCGTAAACATTTATTAACAAATTAAAATAAAATAAAATATTACAGCTCCCTAGTATTTACATAAAACAAGCAGTATTAGAAGTAGACATGTGAACTCCAATAATTATAAAGTAAAAACAAAAATCTCAACAGCTTAAAAATAAAATTAATGTAATGGCATTTTTAGTTCTGTATTACGGGATTTTTTTTTCCATTTATTATATGTAAATGTTCAATTGTATTATAATGTTAAGCAGTCACAAGGCTTACTTCATCAGCTTTCAATTGTCAATGAATGGTGACAAAAGACATGATAATTCTTGTGAAGTGTCTGCCAGCTTTAAGACACAAGATTACTGAGCATCCTTGAGTAAAAGCCAGGTCTACCGTTAAGTATAATGAGGGTCCTGAAGGGGGATATGAATCCCATTGAAACTGTTTAACCCTCAGTTCCTATTTCTTACATTTTTTCCCATTCACAGTGATAGAATCCCCCTGCCAGTGACTTAAATCCCATTTTCCCAGAGCAACAACATCCCAGTTTACCCCTTCAGGACTCCCCACAATGAATTCAGTGTAGCACCCTTCCTAGTAAACAAATCAGCATACTTACCAATGAACAGCTGTATGTACCTCATCCCAAACAACTGCAACAGGATTCTTCTGGTAAAACACCTTAGAAAACATTGCCCTGAATTTCTTGTCCCCCAGTTAATGATTCCGGGCTTCTGTACAACAAAGAAAACACTCCCTATCCATTCAATATTTCTTGATCTTTCATTTTGCTTTCCCCTAAGTAAGCGGCCTGAATTCCTGGTGACCTTGAGTACTCTAGCTGGTCCTCAACAATTGACATGAGAAGTGAAATCACTATGACCAATGGATTACAAGGGAATTCATAACCTTAAGCGTCTAACGATTTTTAAACCCCCTAACTTAGGCAACATTCGGAAGGTTAGACTCTTCTATCAATTGCCCAAAAACATCTCTTCTTTCCACAATCTTCTCAATAATAAATCTTTCCTCGGCTTTTAACTGTACCAGGTACCAGAAACAAAGATAAGCCTTTTTCAAGAGCTTGCTGGAGTTCTCCTTCGAATCTAATGTTAACACTTCTATCAACTTTGGCAGAATTCGCACGGTCAACTGGTGTAAGCTTTTAAGCTTAAAAGTTTCGAAAGGAGTTTGGCACGAAAGCGAGAAAAAGGGTGCGTGCTCTGCAGCTAGCCAGCATTTCTCACGATCAACGGAAATTTTCAGAAGTTGTGTAACGAGCATGGACATCTAAAATGTAACCTTTTCGTTGTATACTAGACAATGTGAGCAAATTTAATATGGTGTGGAAAGTGAAAGTCATGCATGATGTATCATATCAGCAACAAACATTTACGATACCTTGGAAAGATCTGCCCTAACATTTTGTTCTGAAAATTTCTGAGAAACTTTCCTGGTTGAACACGCTACGCAACTATGGCGATCGAGTCGTGTAAGAAAACACAAGAGTCACCAGACCGCTTCTCTTCGCTGATTGGCCAGAAAAAATATTTTTGGCCAATCAGAAGCAGACAATTTAAACGCTTCTGGAACTGGCTCAATAAGATTAAGTGCCCAGGGGCTCGTCTCGATCTTACAGTAAACTCTCACCACGAACATTTTATCGACCCGACTAACTGCCCCTGGGTCTCCGAGGATGGAGACCAATATCATGTTGTCATTCGACATTTGCTATTTTTACTGTCAAGTGTAATGATTCTGTTATCTTTTCTTTCTTGTTTCCTTGTTCCGTGTGTTTATTTCATTGAACGATTGCGACTGAGTTTGAATTATAACCAGTTCAGAGTACTGCAGGCAGTTGATAGTTTCAACGTTAAACATGAATTATGATCAAAAAGAGTAATGCAGCTGATCAGCTGTTCTGTATCACGTAGACATTCGTAACGATATTTCTTGGTTTGCCACTTGAAAATCGTGTTTTACTTTTTGCATAAATTAAAAGGAGTAGTGACATCACTTGACGCATTAATGGCCGTTCGATTCAGACGTTACTGAGGGAGTAATAACGACGCAAAGTAATCGGATGAAATTCACGCTACACAGTGAAATAATATGTGCATTTCATTTCAAACAAATTTGGGTTGCAGCGATCACATATTCTAAGGTCTTCAGGAGTTTTGGGAATTGTAAATCTTCCATTTTGTATTTTTAATTGTGATTTCCTATCCTAAATTTGGAAGCTACACGCCTATGTTCAGGATTCCGGATAGGACTGATGAATTCAGAGTAATTTGTTTCACTTTTAAAGATGGAGTATAATTTTAGTTTTCTATTTGTTCTTATCAAATTTAGCTGGTGGTTTTCCAGATGTTTTGACCAATTGTTTTCAGCTTTGGGTAGGAAAGTGGAAGGGTTTTTAAAGTTAACTCATTGTTTATTAATAATAGGAAATATTTGCTTGCAAATAGAATTTTGATGCTGCTTCTTCCCATTGTGTACTTTTTATTTCTTTGGGGGCCAGGGACTTGGGGTGGCATTTATTTGAATTATAGCCAATACCCTTTAGGATACTTGTGCTTACCAAGTAACCAGGCTTCCATGTGAGCGTCACTTTGTTTCATCTTGACGGTGGTGAAAGACGTGTTTTTTCATTCGAGGTGAGTTTTATTAATTTTATCCCTCTAAACACTTTCCTCTTTGACCATTACATTTTGTCTTTATAAGTCATGTGCTTTTTGTGTATGTTCGATTGGGTTTTTTCTTTCGATTGTTTGGTCAATTTCTTACATTTTGCTTGCACGTGTGTGTGGTTGAATTCACAGCTTTCTTTGATTCGAATTTCTTTCTTTGGTTTTGTTTTTTTCTATGGCTAGCTCACCTCCTACAGTTCTTATCTTGGGCCATTCGTTTGGTTGAAGGCTAAGTTCAGACCTTAGATCCAATTTTGATGCCCTTGCTGCCGAACATTTTAATCTTTTGGGTGACGCCACGATTCATTTACATGGCATGGGCGGTCGTACTGTGAAGAAACTTCGCCTTTACGACCTTGGTGTTGTTTCTGCCCTAAAACCTGACGTTATCATTCTTGAAATAGGCACTAATGATCTTGTTGCTAACCGTCCCGAGGTCGTCTGTTCTGAGATCCATGATTTGGTTCAATTGCTGCTCCAATCTTACTCTGTACGAGTCATCGGTGTTTGCGAGGTGATACCTCGTGTTCGAGGGCCGTTCTTCAACGTGGCAGCACCGATCCTCAACCAATATCTCACTGATGTTCTGGAGCTTTGTCCCAACGTTTTTCCCTGGTGCCATTCGCGCTTTAGTAATCCCATCGTCAGTCCTTGCCCAATGGCGTTTGCTTAAACCCTCAAGGCCAGTATTCTCTTTATCAAAGCAATTGGAGAGCTAGCTCCTGTTAATAAATTTATAACTTAAATCAAACAATAAACTTGTAATCCACAAATCAGTTAACTTAATGACAAATTCAGGTGACTTTTGAGGGAAAGGCTAAGTGACTTTAGAATGAAACATCTTACATCGAGTTGATAGCCTTATATGTAGACCCAAAAAATAGCAATCATCTTCGATCACATTCAAGAGCCATAATGGCTCTTGATCACAGTAGATTTGACCTGGAAAACAAATGAGGCCAAATTTTTTGCTTTCGACAAGTTTGCTTTACAAAATCTTGCCAACAAATCTGGGGGTGTGTAAACCAACCTTTTATACTTGTTATACATTACATTTGCGGTGAAACAGCACTATCTATCATCAGACCTTGGACAGAATGCAGTATTTCACAATTTTTCACCACTAATTTCACTTAGTCAATATTCAGGATGATCAGTTGTGGGCTTTTAGTGAAACCATTCATAAAATTTACAAAATCACCTATACCGCCAGCCGGTTCTCACCTTTGACAAGTGCCAAATTTGAAGTGAACATTAATAGCGGAGCTCCATGTGGTGGCAAAGCATGCGCGTGGGCAGAGCCCAATAGCTAAGGAAATCTACCCATCCAAGAAAATTTGGTCCTCATGTCACTGTACACCGACCGCTTGCCAACCATCTATCTGCACCACAGGAAAAAACCAATTTTTACTTTTGCACTTTCTAACTACTTTGAAAGCCCAGGAGAAAACTGATTGCACATCAATGTTGTGATCAGCAATCATAGATAATATCAGGGCGGGTGGTGAACTTGGTAGGTTGGTTGTCTGGGTGATCTTGGCCATCGTGACGTCACGAAGAGAGGAGTTTTCGAAAATGGTACCGTTGCCATTTCCAAATGCTAGTTTGAAAATTGGATTTCCTGGATATTGATGCTTCAAAATGGATTTTGTCAGAGTAGGATAGTGCAGTTCTAACATCTGAAAATCTGGAAAATAATGCATATGAGAACTATAAAGAGTTTCAGTCAATTTCCTCGCGAGGAATGTGCCGGAAAAGTTTGCATGTTCGGACAGTAATATTGCATTTTGTCGAAATTGGTAAGGTGTTGAACATCAAAACTTGGCGTAAGGGTAGGTTACTTCTATTGGAAAGCATTGTCTCTAAAGTTAAATGTGATAAATTGCAGAAAAAGTGATCAGTCCATTCGAGTGTGCCAGCGTAGCCACTAAGGTAGTCCAAGAGCTGATAAAATTGTATTTATTACTTTGCTGTTATCTCCAATAATGTCAATAGTGCCACCTACTCAAGCTGTCTTTTCGCGATAATTAGACTTTAAAGTAGTTCTGTTTGAGGGAAAGTATAGTTGCAGCAGCTCTTTCCAAGAAGGAGAGTTAATTGTATTAAATTCAGTTGATAAGTACCTCGTAAACAGTTCAAGTCAACTTTTTCAAGTGGAATATTTTGTCGCAGAAATTTGTATGATGGCATATTACCATCGCTTGTTTTATAAAATTGGTTTGGTGTGGAAATTCGAAACTTGGCAGAAGGGTAGGTCAGCAACAGTGGACTCGCTTACCCCAGATCAATGTAAGTCAATTATTTTTCGGTTTTAAGGAAAAGGAAACCAAAGACTTCCTCAACACTATATATCTATAACAATTACACCAGGAATATTTTTTTTTTACACTTGAAGGTTGTATCATCTTGTTGAAGCAAAGGATATTTCTCTGTAACACATAAAGCTTACATTAAGTTTTAATAAATAGTAAAAAAATTAATAAGATTTACATACAGCTCCAAACATGTACATCTATTATATATGAAGCAATTTCATATCGTTTCACATCTCAATTCTTAGTGTGAATGGAGTCAAACGTACAGTGAAACTTGTGTAATCAATAATAATAATAAGAAGAAGAAAGTTCTTTTTACAAATGCCTATGTCACGTAATGTGGTTTTCAATAGGGCACTTCATAAAAACTAAAAACTATTTAGTACTAAAAATGACAAAATATTAAAATAGATGAACTAAAAAATGTCACACTAAGCGAAAATATTGAGATTTAAAATTTTTCAGTAATGAATTTTCAAAGCATTATATGGTAGACATCTC